GGCTGTGCCGCGGGGCCCTCGGATCCGAGGTTGGGGCCGGCACAGCCGCGGTCCTGGTCCCGGTGCTGGTTTGGGCCGGGTCCCCGGCTCGTGTTGCCGGAAACGTGGCCTGCAGATGCCCTCGGCCCGTGTCCTCTCGCGAGCCTCGCTCAGCCCCCTGACAAGAGCTGCCGGGGTGACCCCGCCTCGCCCCCTCGTTCGCGCTGCCCTGAACAAACGGGGACTGAGGGGCTGCCTGTGGCCGCGAGCGCCTGACCCCGTGTCCTGCCCCCGCAGATCAAGGGGATGAAGGGCCGGCTCGAGCTCTGGTGCGCCGACGTCAAGAGCATGGAGGTGCTGGTGGAGCGCCAGGCCCACGACATCCTCACCTAGGCCGCCGCCGCCGGCCGCAGCGGGCGCCTGACACCGAGACGGCGTGGGGGGCTCCGGGGCCCCCCTCGTGGAGGCCCTCAGGAGGGAGGGGCCCGCAGGCAGGGGGTGTGGGTGCCTGAGAACAGCCTCCCGAGGCGTGCGCACCCCCGCGGGTGTCCCCAGCCGCCCGGGGTTTGCGCAATAAACACTCGGCTTGGGCTCCGCCTCCTTCGGCGTCACTGACAGAGCAGGGGACGGGCCCAGGGGGGCAGGCCGGGCCTCTCCCCCCTCCCCTGCCCTGCAGCCCCTGGGGGGGGGGGCGCGCACAGAGACTCCGCAGGCAACTGCAGGTGGAGGAAGGGTTTAATCGGGTCTCGTCCTGCCCCGAGTGGAGACGGGCGCTTCACGCCGAGCTGCTCTTGTAGCTGTGCACGTTGGCCAGGACCCAGCCGGCCGGGATCAGAAAGCTGAGGAAGGTGACGGAGAGTCCCACGGCCTGCTCCTGGGGGCGGGGCAGGGACACGCGTAAGCCGAGCTGTCTGCCGGCTCCTCCAGACCCGGCCGGCCGGTGGTGGGGCTGGTCCAGCGCGGGTGGGCCCCAGCCGGCTAGGGGTGGGGCCCTCTGGAGGCTGCCGGCAGCCCTGGGCAGAGGGGCGGCAGGGCAGCGGGGACAGGGCAGGCCGAGCGGCCTGGCCCCCCCCCATCTCGCCCAGGCCCTCGGCCAGGCGGCAGACAGCCGGGGCGCAGCTGGAGGCCCGTCCCCGCCGTGCGTGACCGCTCTGGCACGGCCCCCTTGCCGCTCCCCCTCCCACCGGGGCGGCCCGGAGCCCTCAGCCCTCCCTAGGCTGCGGCTGCCGGAGGGCCCTGAACAGTTGTGGCCTGGAACCCAAAGCTCCCGCTCTGTCCGCCTCGACTTTGGCTCTGTGACCTTGGGCGGCGACCTAGAGCTTGGTCCGATTCTGGCTGAAGGTTCTCACGGAGGCCCACCCTTCCCCTTTAAGAGGTGAAGTTGGGGCGCCCTAGCAGGGCCCCGAACCCTGTTGGTGCGGCAAGGACCCCTCGGCTTGCCCAGCACTAGAGGTGGGAGTGTGGCCCCTGGCCACAGTGGGGGAGCCTCCGACCTGCGTCCAGGCCAGACAGGACGTCCCCTCCCCTCCAGCAGCCCGGCCCTCTGCATCCTGCCCAAAACCACTCCTCTGGCCCTGGGGCCGTCCACCCTCCCCAGCCAGGTCACTCACTGCAGCAGAAGTGGGCGTTCTGGCAGGCTTGGCAGAGATGTGTGCCCTGGGGGCCGCCCCAGCCCCCCGGGGGGCTTGCAGCAGCCGGATAGCGGGGGCCAGCCTCAGCATGGTGGTGGGTCGCACTCCGCCCGCGTCCCTGCGAGTGAGGTGGGGTGTCCTCTGCGTGCCCGCTGCCCTCTGGGCCCTTTATAGCTCCAGGGGGAGCGGCAGCTGTCCTGTGACAGGGCTTGGCAGGGAGGGTGTGTGGAGTGGGAGGAACTCGGGCTGCGCCCTCCTGCGCCCCCAAGTGTGCCCAGCAGGGCGGCGCGTGCGGCCTGTGCGCTGGGGCAACAGCCGGGGAGCCAGGGGTCCGGCCAGAGGGCGCGCGGGCAAAAGCGCCTCAGCGCCCGGGTGTCTCAGGGACCAGCGTACAGGCCCCAGCTGGGCTGCAGATGGCGCCCCGAGGTGGCTGCAGCCCCCAAGGCGAGGTGTGGAGGTGGCTGTCCTCCAGGAAGCGTGTCCGCTGGGGCGGGAGCGCCTGCCTGCCCCTCGGGGGGCTGAGCCTCGCCTCCTAGGCCGCCCCCAGGACCCCGAAGGGCCCTGGATCTCTCTTGGCCATTGGAAGCTTCGCCTGGGACCTGCCTGCCCGGCCCTGGGCCCGGTCCCACTTGTGGCCGGGTAACCACCTGCTCTAGCCAGTCACCCCTGCCCCCTGTGGCTGGCACCACGCATCAGCCCCAGCCTTCCCCTCCTGCGGGGGCGCATGTGCTCACGCTGCCCTGACATCAGCACCCCACTCAGCACCAGCACCCCCAGGTGCTCCAGCCACGTGCTCACTGGATCCCCACCACCTCTGCTCAGCACCCTCAACCCTCGTGTCCAGGCCTCACCCTGACACCAGCCCCTGCCCACACCAGCCTGCGTCTCCACTGACTTCGGGGCCCTCGGACCCAGCACGTGGAGGCCCAGGCCTGGGGCGCGGCCTCAGCCGCAGCCCTCGGGGCCTGAGCAGGAGCCTGAGCGCCACACAGCCTGGTGCGGGGAGAAGGCGGCAGCCTGGGCGGGCCTCGGCTCAGACCCCGGGCATTCCAGGGTAAGGCAGACATGGCAGAGGACTGCGCCGGGCCACCCGAGACTGCCCGCCGACAGCAGGCCCAGCCACCCCGGCCGCCCACTGCCAGCCACCTGCCGGGCCACGCCAGCACTGGCCAGCGCCCATCAGGCCCTCAGGACCTGCCCCACAGAACCTCACTCCCCTCGCAGGGAGCCACACGGGTTCTGAATGTGGGGCTCACCTCCAGGCTCCCTGCCCCACCCCGGGGCCAGGCCAGCCCGTGACTCGGTTTCCCAGACGGGAGCCAAGTCTCCAGGCCAGAGGCCACCTGAATGTTATCTCCCTGTGCTGCCCCGGGCCGCGGGGGGCTCTGGCCTAATCCCTTCCGCCTGAACCTTTAATTACAGCTTTGGGGCCCAGCTGGGGATCAGGCCTGCAGGAGATCAGTCACTGAGTCACAGATAAGACCCACCCCGGGGCTGGAGAGGCCTCCTCCCTTCCTGGGGGGGGCAGTAAGTGCCCAGTGCACCCCGGGGCCTCAGTTCCAAGTTTCCAGATGGACCCAGACCAGACCAGCCCTGCAGGTGAGGCCTGGGGGGGGCGGCCCCCAGGGGGAGCAGCATGCCCCCCCCCCACCTGAGGCCGCAGTGCCGCGCCCCCACCAAGGACCTTCTGGCTCCTACGGCCTCAGCGCCAACCTCGGCCCACTGGTCCCCATCCCCAGAACCATGGGTCCAGCCTGAGCCCCACACGGGGCCCTGCTGCCCCGGCCCACCTGAGGCCGCGGGGCTGAGGCACTGCCTGGCCCCCGCCACCCCCAGGCCAGCCCCACAGGCACAGCCCAAGTCCTAGTGGACTGCCCCCACTAGGTCTCCTAGGAGGTGAGGGGGGCACAGATGCTGGGGTGGTGGTCAGGGGAGGGCCACACAGAATGAGGGAGGAAAGGCCCCAAGGGGGAGACTCGGCGGGGCCCTCTGGGGTCCCCAGAGAACTGAGGCTTGGAGAGGGCAGCTGTTCCCGGGGCGTGGATGGACAGAGGCCTGGTGCAGGGCCCTCTCTTGGCCTTCCTCCTCCAACTCTGTCAGGGCGTTTCTCCCCCGTCCCCGGCAGGGCCTCCTGGGACCGACTCCGCGGGCAAGTGGCGCCACCCCGTGTCCACACTGGGAGCCACAGGCACCCAAAAGTGCGCCTGCGCCAGCGTGTCTTAGGGTTAGCAGGACCCCGACTGCTCTTGCGGAGGTCCCCTCCTCTGCGGGGGGCTGCAGAGTTCCGGGGTTTCCCTCTGGTTTTCACGGCGTGGAGGCTCGTTTTACCGGGACGTGCACACGGGGGTTTGTTCAGACGGGGATCAGCGAAGGCGACTTGGCCCAGCTGGTCTCAGTCGTGGCTCCGCCCCCATGGGGTGCGCTGGCTGGCTGACAGGGCCCCCCGGCTGCTCCAGGGTGCATCATCGTCATAAAAGCCACTCAGAATTATTTTGCAGGGGAAGATTTCCTCTGTTTATCATGCATCATCGTAGCCATTACTCGCTGATCCCAAATGGCCCACGTAGTGTGGCCACACACATGCTGGTCTTACAGTTGGATCATAATCGCTGCTGGTTATTTTTCTTGCTCAGTGGTGCTGGGAAAACTGGGAAGCTACATGCAAAAAAATGAAACTAGATCACTGCCTCACTCCAGTCACAAAAATCAACTCGAAGTGGA